CATCATCATCATCATCATCATCATCATCATCATCATCATCATCATCACCATCATCATCATCATCACCACCATCATCATCATCATCATCATCATCATCATCATCATCATCATCATCATCATCCTTTCTCAGCCTGTGCTGGAGTATAGGCCACCAACAAGAGGTCTTTTTACTCTTATGAAGTATCACATCACTCTTTATATGACAACTTTCGTAGAAACGTCTGCCCATTATACACTACACGTAAAATTCCTGGTGGTTTTGCGCTCGTATTTCTTATACGGGGTGCCGATCCCAGCCGTAGTGGGCACCCCGTATTAGAAATCTCTTTTGCAAGACACCCCATAGCCCTATGTTTTTTGTATAGATTTACAATTATTCAATCTCACTGACTTGTGTGTTTTGTGTTTTTCCACAGTGCAGCACGGCGCACGCCGCAGACTTTCTGATGGTGTACAAGTTCTGCTGTTCCCCCGAGCGGAACGAGATGAGGACCTACTGCTCCGGGATCTACACCAAGCCACCGAAAAGGGGCGGGCTTTGGCTGTCGTAGACTCCGCCCATCGTCGGTGAAGAGGCTAAGAGACCAGAGCTGTGTCGTTCCCGCGCTTGCAATGAATGATTTACCTAGGCTATCACCATCCTGTCTCGGACTGATTCCCAACGATGTGGACACAACGACCTTCACCTTTGACCCGTTATCACGGCTGCAGCCTGTCTGGCTGGTTGACTGAATCAAATTCAAGCGTATCTAAAAATAGAAACGTTGAGTTAACTTTCACCTTTGTGACACTATATATTATTTATTGTAACGGTCAGAAGGTCTAGACATGAGATTTTTCAAAAGTTTCGTTTAGAAAGTTATTGAAGCTTTACGCCCCAAGTCTAGTCATTTACGTTCGTCTGCGGAAAAGGCAGTATCTAAGCCAGTCATTGCGTCCCCCGTGTGTGTGTGTGTGTTGTCTAACTCTAAGCCATGACTTCTGAACATATCAAAAGATGAAGTCTTTACTTGTGGAAGGTCGGAGAACACCAAGAGGTGATTGCTATGCCTTGATCTTTTATCAATCTGTGGCCACTTGTAAAAAGGACAAAACTGGTTGATGAATTGCAATTTTGCTGATATTGATTATTATTATTATTATAGTATCTGTTGCTTTAGCCTCCTATCCTTTTAGTATTGTGTCATTTCATTTAGTCCAGCGAGCTTGACTGTTTTGTTGAACGATTCCACAATTATTTATTCCAACGGGAAAGAGAGAAGCGGGCAGTGGGAGAAGAGAGGAAGAAGGAGAGGGTGAGTGGGGGAGTGAACTGAGACGACGTGGGACTGGGTATTCGAACACATTTGGTCGCTTTTAATTAAGCACAAGGGAGCAATCCCGAAAAACACTGTTTTGAGAAAATCGAAGGTAAAGTTTTTCGACCCTTGTTCAGTTTCTTTAAAAGACAAGGAGAGTTTTTTCTCTATGGCCACACAAATATACACACCAATGAAACCAAACTTCTTGTACAGGTAGGGCAATGCTCACTTTTGGTGTAGGTCAAGATTTCTGGAAACCCCCGAAATCTGGGTTAATCAGCCCGCCTGCCCTTAAAGGCGACGATTTGATTAAAGCCAATGGGAGACGAGAGTACTGTTGTGGAGAGCACGCGTCAGTGAGGGAACCAGATCTCACGATCTCACAGTCCAGCCAATGGACGAAGGTGTTGCTTGTCTTTTCTAATCCTCCCCTCCTTTAAACGGTCAGGGGAGGAGGAAGGGGGGG